GTGTGCCGCAACAGAAGCGGTGTATGTTTGAAGGGGCGGGGGTGTTTGCCATACGTTACCGTATACATGTACGCGTAGGTAATGGATCTCGTCAAACAAGAGTCTGTCGTATCCGCAAAGGGTAGGGAGTTGGATTTAGGGTAGGGTTGTGACGGTGGGATTAGGGATGGTGGATAGAGGTGGGTGGGGGGTGGGGAGGTGGGGGGGGTGGGGGGGGGGGGGTGGGGGTAGAGTTTGGGGGGGGGGGTGAAATGCAATATTAGCGGAAGAGGGTGTGGGGTAAAGATACATGCATGATCTGGATAGGGCGATAAATTACTGAAGTGGAAGGGTAGGAAATTATTTGGGTGTTTCACATTATTGGAGCTAACAATGAAAGGAATAGGGGATAAGGCGGGTTGGTGAAGACACATTATTTGTGAGCGGGATGTAAGAAAGTGTGTCGTGATAAAGTAGGTGTTGAACAGGGGAACGCATTTTTTAACCCTGGTATTAACCAAAACACATTTTAGTATTATGTTTGACAAACATGAGGTAGTTTACACCAGTCCCATCCGGAGTCTCCAGGAGATCACAAGGGAAATCATGAACGTTTACTAATTGTTTAGAAATTTGAGGCAGAATCTAGCACCAACACAATGAAACAGTCACATATAAAATAGCAAGTTTTTAAATACTTTTTACTCTATGGCTAAACATCGGAGTGGGACGTCTCACGCTCTTGCAAACTGTAACGAACATCCTCGAAACACAGGGGAATACCTTTCCTAGAAATTCCAAGCTCCAAACCAGGGCTAAGATCCAGGGTAGAACAGGTCTTCAGCAACCCATGCTTGCCGTAAAAGGCGACTATGTTTCTCGTAAAAGGCGACTAACGGGATCGGGTGGTTAGGCTCGCTGCCTTGGTTGATGCATGTCATCGTGTCCCAATTGCGTGGATCGATGCTCATGGTGTCAATCACTTGATTGTCGGGTCCAGTCTCGATTATTTACAGACCGCCGTCATATAGCTGGAATAATGCTGAGTGCGGCGTTAAACAACAAACAACAACAACTAAACCACAGCAGGGTTCACAGCTATTATTCGACATGAATCAAAACAGGTGTCCGATGTTGACTACTAAATGGAAAATTTGAAGAATCGAACAGGGATCAGCATTAACCATTGTGCTACCCTACAAAAATGACGCTGTCAGATAGCCTGTCTCATGTAAACACCAGTGATATGTAGTTTCCTCACACCCTGGCGTAGCGTTACCTAGCAATACATGACAACGGATACGCCTCTTATTGTCAACAATATCGTTATTAATCTTATCACGTGCAGGTTCCTTCCCCAACCAATGGTTAACCTCGCGAATACAATCTCCCGTAATGCAGGGTACAGTTTACGATAACTATGAACGTCAACACAATGCCGCCATTGTGGCTGCGATTAATCAATATAATGATTTAACAACAAAAGAACGGACTTGAAGAAATCCGAACCTAAGACACCATCCACTAGAGATCTCTACATGCTCCTGTGCTTTAGTAGAGATATGAATAACGTCATTATCAAACCGCTAATTACGTTTAAATCGAACCCGCCATTACGTCGAATGACGTCGACCGCATTTGCACGCACTACCTCGCACCGGTGCGCTGTAAAATCGGAAATCAATTGCAGTGAATGGAAACGAAAGGATCTCGATCCGTACGCATCTTTGGGCTCTCTATGTAATGGGTAGAGTGAAAGCGAAATGAATAATGTATACCGTCTGTGCTTGCTGGCAAATAAATCAGAGTCGAAATAAACTTTCTTGAAGGTATAGTTGAGCAACGGGCCAGATATGATTACATATGAGACCAAATTGATTTGCTCTTTTTCCACTTCGATTAAAACGTTGCTTTCTTTTCACGAGACATTCCGCTGCTCGGCCACGTGCAAGATGACTGAACAGGGCGCTTGATGAGAAGCGGATCGAAAGTTTTACTCCCGAGTGTCAACTGCCAAATGACTCGTGGTATTTGCTCGTTGACGGTCGAGGTGTGAGAAGACCCCACCGAATCTATCTATAAGATATTTGATATGATTTTGCAATGGTGCGTTTATATACTACATTATTACTATTTGAAGTCGTGACGCTTGATATGTGCATATCTTTTTAAACCAGGTTGAGAGGCTATTGATTCGAATAAGATGCAAACCTGATCCCAATTCAATATCAACACTGTTTATTTAACCTTTAGATACCATTACAAAATAGGCGTGAGAAATATGCCCCTTGTTGAATAGTCGGAATTTTGAAAATTTTCAAAAGGGCGAGAAAATAAATTCGAATATATTGGGATTAGGTTTTGTAATAATTTATGTCACAGTGCAGCCGTTTAATCTGGACGGTGTCGTTCCCAGTGGACATATCCGAATGAAAGACTTATTGGTAAGGAGTAATGTCCCTTGCATATAGTCAGGTGTTCTCATTACAACCCGCCCGGGTGTGGGTTTGGGTGTTTGAAGGGGTGGCGTGGGATTAATTCAAGACGCTTGGGGTCTGCAATAACGGGATTTAAGTTTATCGCGGTATGTCACTGTTTGTCCTCACAACTTAGAGACACATATGAGGGCCTTTACGCGACACACATGGTTTACATCTGACAATAATCTTGTATGGAGCGTAAAGGTTATGATGAAATATTTTAATAACTTAATATAATCTTAGAGAGGATTATGTATAACACAGACGTTCCATCCTCATAGCGACCGTCCTCCAGATGACGCAATACCTAGAAATTAACTTTGAGAGACTTTCTCAACCTATGGGTGGTGCATGCAAAGGCCTACATGCATGTGTACAGAAAGTCTCTCTCTCTCTCTCTCTCTCTCTCTCTCTCTCTCTCTCTCTCTCATTACATTACATTATGGCACTTTTTGTTGCCCTGCCTGCCCCTCGTCATTAAGGGGACAATACAATATGTCCGGCATTGTATCTCTCTGGTCTAAAACTATAACGCCTGCATTAGTCCGTACTGGTACAAGCAGCCACTGACACACAAGCACTTCGCTATATAAGTGCAATGATCACCTCACCTCACCTCACCTCACCTCACCTCGCCTCGCCTCACCTCACCTCACCTCACCTCACCTCACCTCACCTCACCTCAGGTATGATGCAAATCGACCCACTGACCACCCAGCAGCTGCTCCATCCGTTAGACTATCATGATAACATCCTCGGCCAGGGAGGAGATTAAATGTGATTAATAAAGTACCTCAGATGTGGGCGATCAGGACAATAACATACAAATATCGCAATATTTAAGCAGCATATTCAAAGGAATGATAAAGTTGATTCCATAGCTGAGAAGAGTATGTTCTCGTTCATGACGTCAGTGTTTTACAACAAGAGCCTTTCATGATATGATTCCATCGTCATTGGACGAGGTATTATTTTCATAGTCTGAGTTGCGTGGCACCACATCGCCTGCCACATATGGCACTATACCGACTGAGACCGACGATGGATGAGAAAGAAGTATGAGCGTCGGAGTATTTTAAAATGTCAGCATACAATTGTTGGCAACTTTCTTCAATATTTGAAAGGTTTCCCTTAGAAAAGAAGAAAACTTCAATAGAAATTTGTGCCTTTCTTTTACAACGACCGTCAACACAGAAAATCTTACTGAGAGTAAAATTCGGGACGATAGGGAAGTGAAACGAAAATTATTCTTTTGAAATTTCAGTCAATTCCTTTAGATAGTTCGATCAATTTTTTTGAAGGAGCTTACTTTTAATACACTTGGACTCTGGGTTTGGATTGGGCATAGAAATGTGCCTCGTTAAGTCCAGCCCTCGACAAGCCAGCGACTCGTACAATCTCGTTAAAAACGGACCCTTAACTGTGACGTTGCAAACTTAGGTGAATACAACAGTGTTCGAATTGAATAGCTTTGATAAGGCCCCAGATGTTAGCTAGGCTTTCAAACGTTTGAAGCAGGTTTCATAAAAGCTCATTTTGTTGTAATCATAGCCAGTTGAAAACGGACAGCAATGCGCATGCGTGCGAGTTACTGGATTTCTAAACGTTGAATAGGCGTATTTATACACCGTACAATGTTCCTCGGCAGTGGCAAGGTTAAACATGTTAAAAAGGGAAATAACGTTATTCTTTCCTGATTTATGATGGAAACCAACTGAAAAGATGAATCTTAGCAACGACTGGCGGAAAGACATGAGATTATTTGCTCGATACTTTAATTAGGGGTCTTTGATCGGCGTTTTATACCTTATCGTATCTTTATTGTGAGCTACTAGAAGAGCATTGTTGGAGCTCTTGTAAGCATTTGTGTAGAATTGTATGGGACGGAAAATAGGCTGTTTAATTGAAAGACCTGAACCCAATCAATCATGTTAACCCGCGGCCGACCCACACACGGAACCTTCAAGCCTAAAGAATTGCACTGACATGCCTCTCTATTTAATAAATTTATGGACACCTAGGTTTTTCGATGACGTGTTTTAGTCATCGTAGACAAACTGCACACTGTGGGTCTCTCTGGGTGTTGGCGTGGACGGGCCGAGACGGTCACAAGTCAAGATTCTTTTGCATGCTTTTGTTAATGTTGCAAGCTGGATTATATTGTATTATGTGACATTGTGCTGCTGCGGACTGAACTACTGGCTTTCCCCCCACGACAATTATCTCTAATACACTCCCTGCATTCCCCATAGCTTCTGTGAGACTGTCAGCACCGTTTCGTAACGCTTTGCCTGCCTTGGTATTCTATTTCAAACAACAACCTCACCATTTATCTTTACTGTAATAAAACCTCGAATCTGATAGTATTTCAAACCATACACAGATATCTTTGTTGAGTAGCAAGTCTGCAGGGAAATTTATCACAAGCCTGCGAACAGCGATTGAAAGGCTCGGTTTGAATACGGACCATTGCCAATCTGCACGCACTTTCCTAGCATTGTGTTTCCAGCTACCCAAAGTACGGCCATAGAAACTGCACGGACAATTTGAAACTATGCCGTATTGAGCTTGCCGTTGGGCTGTTTTATTGTGATATGCTTTATACACAAGAGGCCTTGTTTCAATCCACGGAGACACATCTGGCACAGGAGACAACACCAGACTGTCTTTTTAACAATGCCATGGCGTTTTGGCCATTGTTGGTTTCTCTACTAACTAAGGAAGTATTCGGAAGCTCGGCGCTTGCTGCGTCCCAGGATCAAACTGTACAGACTGTGTGGCTCGGGGCTATTGTGATGCTTCGAGCGCGCCGAGCCGCCCAGACCCCTCTGCATCACTAGATGGCCGTGGCTCGGCTGGCAGTTGCTGAGCGTGGCAGCAAGCATTTCGGTGGCATCAGTGGAGCCGCGCAGGCGCTACCTACACATGTCGAGCAGACGATACCTTTACGTGCCGAGCAGACGATAAGTTGCACGTGCACACGGATCATACCTTTCGTGTGGATTACGGAGATGGAGGTGGGAGTGTTATTGGAAGAACCGTGGATTTTATCCGAGTTCTTTGACGTGGATTGGAAACTTTCCTTTAATCTTAAAGTTGTGTGTGTGTTGCTTGTGTGACGTGCTTGAAGACGTGAGCTGACTGTTTCTCATCATCTTGTGCCTTAGCAAATGACATCCGCGTTTCCAGTACTGTTTTGCTGGTTTGGGCAACGACAGTGGTCACGTTGGCAATCTTTGAAACAAATGGAATATAAGTTGGTACGGGTTTGATACAGGAGAACAAGTAGAGACTGCACCATTTCGCACCTGTCAGTTTGCTGACGTCCAAAAACAGCCTTAATCGGGACGTTTAAAAACAGAAAAGGATATCATAGTGGAAGTTGATTGGAAACCTAATAGACCCAACTTAGGGATGTTCAGGTGAAACATCTTAATGTGAGGTGAGTACGATGTGATGTCTGTATGTGTCTTTTTCTGTGTCTTTGGGGATAACATAGGTCACCCTTAAAGTCATTTAAATAAAAGCGACAAAATCCTTTCCATAATCATATGAAATCTCTACCAAAAGCAGCGCCCTTTTACGGTTCATGAGCATGTGCTTATTAATCAATAAAATTATCAAATAATGATCATACCAGGTGTTCGAGAAAAGGTGAGCGTATCCTGACCCAACGGTGGCACCCGTCATAAACACAGTCAAGGGCAATGTTCAAACCATCTGACTAGGGATGGGAAAATGCTAAACATTATTCAGTTCATCGGGGCACTTTTCACAAGGAAATATATTTCCTTGATTTGGTAAGATCTTTTTTGAAACCAAGGTATCGTGAAAGCAATGTCCACAGAGTAAGTTCATTGCCCACTGGTAGATAGAGAGGTGCACTGCAGGTCTTCTGTAAGGCCACAGGTCCATGGTAAGTAGTGTGCAAACTACAGAAGCTGATGTAGACTTTACAATGATGGAAAATATATTATGTAAGTAATGTATCACGGTCTATGGCCATATGGTCAGGTTCACATTGTGGAAATAAAAGCTACAAAACCCTTTCCAGAAGCACCAGAAATCTCTGGTAAAAACAGAGTCCACCATACAATTCCGACTCTATCATGGGCATGTGTTTATGAATCACTATCAAATAGTGATGATACCAGGTGTTCGCGAAAAGGTGTCCTGACACCCCAAACTACCCCTAACAATTGTGTTTCCAACAAACTACCCTAACATTTGTGTTGTCAAACATTTGTGTTTGTCGTTCACATGGGCCAAGCTCCTTCCACAGTTATGGGTAGGAGGGTGTCAATCGCTGGATTGCCTGGTCCAAACTGGATTATTACAGTCGCCGTCATATGGCTTAAATATTGCAGTGCAGCATTACACAACAAACAAAACACATTAACGGTGATAAATACCATTTATGTCAAACTCTTGTTATTAGTCATCTATACGTCTGGCTGTAATGAAAATGGTTCACATCAAAGCCGAAGGCAATGCACTCAACTTCACTTTAAGGAATTCTGACGTATTCTTTATAATCCCGCCGTGTATCAAGTAGCTAAACTTGGTTTTCATTATATTCGACCAAGTAAATATATAACATACAACAAATGACACATTAATTAATTTGAAATTATATTCAGATTTGTTCACATCTATTTTTCCATCCTTTTATATTTTTTGTATGCTCAACACAAATACAAATGCGACAAATAGTCGTACATGTAATAACTACATTTATGTGACCATTCCTAATTCCGAAATCCATTTAAAACGAATTCCGACATACCCTGCAGAAAATGCAAAACATTAAGGTGCTGTAGATGCAAGAGTTTATTGGTTGTGTGTTATTTCTGCATAGAATGCACTTCGGAAGCTTTCAAGAGATATTGTAACTAAAAATCTAAATGCCATTCCGCTCCCATATCGCTCTCACGTGAGGCATTTACAATGATGGCTAAATGAGAATTTCGAGTAGGGGCGACGAATAAAGCAATGCTTGCCTCATATACTAATTGATCAGTACCAGGAGAGGAAATCACATTGTACACTGGAGGGGTCGGGATGGGGGGTAGAGGGCATTAGCGATAAATGCTAGCTTGGTATGGCTGTGTTATCGTGGCAAATTGATCATGGTATGAACTGCTATGCACCGTGTGTGTCGGGATTAATCATTTCTTGTACAGAGATAGAGAAGTAAACGACGGTTATTTCCACGTGACATAACGGCCATAATGCAGCGGGGAAATGTGGCGTTCGTTGAGCGTGACAACGTTCCTTAGGCGTGACTGATAATGACACGACGCGGATTTATGACGTTATGTCGTGTCATTAAGACGACGAACACCCGGTGTTTCAATGCCGTTTCATAGATTGGTGTATTTTGTACATGCATTTCTTATTGTTAATATTACTTCTTCAAGTATCTGGTGTATTTTATTTATGGTTTGAAATCAGAATTTGATGGACTGAAGCGTTTGTAACCATTGCCACCTTGAAATCTCATTGCCTTTTCGGATATTTTTGTTTCGCTTTTTTTGCGAAAGTAGTTTTTCACTAACACATTATGAAGTTTTATTGTTGCCATGGGAAATCTGGTTTCATGTCTGACTTTAATCTGTACGTGACAATGCTTTTCGTTGAAAACGCTTTTTTTCATACGCTGTATTCGGTCCTATCAAAGTGAGCTATATTTGGGATACACTTGCGTTATGCCAAGATTTGATAGACAAAACATCGTTTATCCAAACCATGACCTTTCCCAGGAAGTGTCCAGATGGCCATGAATGGGTGAGTGTGGTCATATTGCCGCCAGACAAAACCGTAAAAGGCTTCTATGCTTATCGTGAGAGGCGAGGGATCGGGTTGTCAGGCTCGCTGACTTGTAGCATGTCATCGACCCCATTTGCGTGGATCGATGCTCATGATATCAGTCACTTGATTGTCTGGTCCAGACTCGATTATTTACAGGCCGCCGTCATATAGCTGGAATATTGCTGAGTGCGGCGTTAAACAACAAACCAACCATCCACACCGAGGAATACCTGGAATCACATTGTGTACCCCGCCGAGAATAACCGAAATTGCTGATTCGGCGTTAAAAAATATTCACTCACTCAAATATTATAACATGTGATCAATCGAATCCGTGATTTTGGTGAGGAAAGATTACTCCATCGCCCTAGAGGAAACGAGCAAGGGTAGGGAACATGAGGACTGCGACCCCCTCCCTTTCTACAACCCACACATCATCTCACCACACACCCACACTCCAACCCACCACTCCCGTTTCTGTGACTACAATGAGCGGGGATCACGGGTCTCCGGTATCCTATACCTACTGGTGTTCATGCTATCAACCACTGATCTGCCCGATCCAGATTCGAGTATTTACATGCCGCCCTGATGTTGCCGGAACCTTGCTGACTGGGGCGTTAAACCTCATTCACCCACCCCTGTCAGCAGATTATTTCGGCCCGCTTGTGCAACTGTTAATTGTTATGTATAAAGAGAATCTCAACCTTGTGTCTTTTGATATCAAATATATCAACAATCGTTGATAAAAGTGGATAAACTCCGAGGCTTGTCTTGTCCAGACTCGATTATTTACAGACCGCTGTCATATAGCTGGAATACTGCCGAGTACGGCGTTAAACAACAAACGGTCAAATAAAAAGTATTCAACACAGAGCGTTTCGAACTTTTTTTAATGAGTGTTTGGTGTTCACATTCATATACAAACTTTATCGTCTCCACGATTTACACAATCGTAATGGCTAAAGTAAACCAAAGCGATGTATGAACAATATGTATTTGTGCAATCATCGACTACTTCCCAGTTGTGAGGATAAATCGGCATGTGCAATAAAACGAGTTTATTTTTATTAACAATAAAATGGGTAATTACAAATTTGTTAACAGGTATATTTAAAGAACAACGGTCGCTCAATATTTTTTCGTCTAACTCACATTAGATAACACTGGTCCAACGGCCACAATCTGCCCGAGACATCCCGTTCCCACTAGTCATATAACGAATCTGACAGAGTTGCAGCAGATAGACACGTACAATTGCACTGCCAACGTTTCATATGAACAATAGCAGCTGTCGATAAGTTAAAAAGCCAGAAAATTATCAATGCGAAAACAACAGCATATCTGTGTTGTCCATGTCGACCTCACGGTTTAGTGATAATTGACAGAGAGATCAATCGCATAATTAAACTAGCCTTCGGCTCAGGCCTCGGAAAACAACCATTTCATGGAACCGGAAGATACTGCGCGTTAACAGGGAACATTTCGTGACTGTTCGCAACTTGTCTTTTCCGAAAACGTCATATTTCTGTCAACAAGCTCGTACAAGATATCCTCGGAGCCAAGTGCCTTGGTGTTTGTTTTCCTTTCAGTATCGATGTTGTTAATTACACTAAGAGATGTCTTAAAGGCTTCGAGTAATCGTCGGTGGCGTTCTTTCCTATTGATTAAACGTGTTATCCTTATGTAGTTTGTATTGCAGTCAGAAGTGGGTATGACTGGCGAGCATTGGGTGGAGTCACAGAAAGGTGGTATTCACGCAGCCATGTGATTCAGTAATTGGATTCAGTCATTCGCGGGTTCGTTTAAATTTTTGAAAACCTGTCAATGTCAATTATGGACAATTGTCTTGGCACCGACGGTGTGGTTCATTCCTAGATTATGATTATTTCACATAATAGTGCGATAGGGACCAGTCATTCATAGGTTCGTTCTAAATTTAGAAAAAAAGTCAGTGTCAGGGAGTGGCCGACCATGTGATAGTTTGGGAGTGATGTGGGGGTGGGGGTGGGGGAGGGGGTGGGGCTTCTGGGATGGTATCGAAATATATATTAAAGCCGAAAATGCTTGACTGTTGAGATAATGGAAATTATCTGTTTTTGCAGCCTGAGCTGAAGCACAATATCTCGTCACAATACACAATCCAAATGTCCATGCCCATCAAACTCCGACCCCCCAACCCCCCAACCCCACCCCCACCCCCAACCCCCACCCCACCCCACCCCCCACAACCCACACACACACACTCCCAGACGGTGTAAGTCATTCCAAGATTATGATAGCGTCAAATTATGAAGTGAATCAGAGTGGCTTTGTCAGATAATAGTGAAATCGAGAAGGTTATGTCAGAGGATAATGTGCTTCAGCGTAAATTATCATGTCAGATAATATTGTGGTTGAATCCTAGATTATTACTTCAGCCATTATTGGAGTTCAGTATTCACATGTCAAATAATAGAAGTATTCAGTAATTACCATGTTGGGTTAAACCCAACTAACTCTCTCACTATCTCTGGAAAGGTATAGAAGAATTGTATTGTTTGCTTTAATGAGTTAGAAAGTGAAATACAGATGTGCACACGGTGTACATCTGGGCTCTGTGGGTACGGCGGGGTAACCTTCTAGGTTTTG